AGCACTAGGTGTTATTATCCCCATTTTCCAGATGAGAAAATAAGGCATGGAAGGTTAAGCACCTCATCTGAGGGCCTGTGGCTGGTTAGCAGCAGAGCTGGCATTCTAAACAGGGGGGTAGACCCCACTGGCACCTCCTCCGGCCTCCCCATGGGCCCCCAGCCCTCAGGGCAGGGTCACAGCCGGGCATCTGGCCCCTGTCCTCTTCCTGGCAGTGGCCTGGCTCTGCTTGGAAGTTGCCTGTACCACAATTCAAGGGGCCAGCTATTCTGGGAACAGCTCTCCTTTATTACTCATCTGAATTAACCATTGTGTTGGTCTGGACCTGGGGGCCAGGCATGCCCACTTGCCTTCACAATGCCTACTACTTATAAAAGTTTCTAGAAAATACAGTTCAGTCCTTATTCTTTTTCCCTGGGTCGACGTGTCCCTCTGTACTTGCAGAGTGAGCAAATTGTTTAATAAACTGGAGCCTGAGAGGCAATTTAGTGGAATGGAGCATACAGGGGCTTGGAAGGTTGACCAGCTCCAACGAGCTGTGCAACCTTGGGTAAAATCGTCGTAGCTAACACTTACTGACCGTTTAGTATTCCGCGTTCTCTTGTCATCCTGACAGCAACACTTAGAGGGTAGGGCTGTCAGAATTTTCTGAGCACAAGCAACAGAAGTTGACACTGAGAATTTACATGGAGGCCTATGAGAGAGGCCGAGGACTTGAAAGCTTGAAGATTAGGTTTAGGAGGAGCAAAAAGCAAGGCAACTTCAGGGTCAGGAAGCAGGGGGATCAATAGCTTGTTCAGTGTGGTCCTCTTTTCAGGTAGGGGTGGCCATGGGACACGGTTCCAACCAGATAGCTGGGAGATTTCTGGGAAAGACTGTACTCTTCTTGATAAGAGTGATAGAAACAACTGAAGCTTTCCCTTGATCTCCTCTTCCTGCCTTAAACTTGGATGGAATGCTGGAACTTCTGCAATCACTTTGTGATCAGGAGGGAAGCCCAGACATTGTTGAGCAGCTGACCTGATGCCAGCCGCTGCTTACCTGCAGACTGTTTATGCAAGGAAATCAGACTCTGTCTGATTAAGCTACTCTAAGTTGGGTTGTCTATTACTTGCAGCCTTCCTATGGGGCTCACACCTTCAGCCACAAACATTTTTTTTCAGTCCTTGCAGAACCCCACCGGAGACTTAAATTCCAGGTGAGAACATGCCCAACTTTTGGCTGGAGGAGGGTAGGCTACTTTTACTAACAATCCCAGCAACACCGCACTTACAGAGTAGAAGGAATTCCCTAAAAGGTGAGTATGCTCCTGCTACCAGAAGGTGGGGGCAACAGAGGCTGGGAGGCTGAAAGTCCACCGTTCCTGAGGATAGGTGCCGTGGTTACAGCTGGTGATGACACAGAGGCTCGGGTGGTGACATAGTAAGTTCAAAGCCTCTGAGCTAGTTGGTCTCAGGCGCCAAGAAACAGACCCTTCTAGGACCATGCTGCAAAGGTACTGCCTTTAAGGAAAGGACTGTCGCAGTAGGATTTTATTGTTAACCCACCTCTTGAAAAAGGGCCAAAGCTACATTATTCACCTCTTATACACATGTTATCTCCATCCCAATCTTTAGTGTGCTTTTACCTGCTCCCCATAGCTCAGGGAGGAGGGTGGTTTAGTTAGCAACTGTCAGTTAACCCTTTTCACTAGTAGATGTCTTGGTGAGGGATATTTGGCTGCAAAGAACAGAAACTTTCTCAAACTAATTCGAGCACCCAAAAAGAACAGAGGGACATATGGTGCAGATGGACCTGACTTTGGGGATAGACAGTCAATACTAGTCATAGTTACGGAGAAAAATTAAGTGAACTTGTACACATAGTGTTTGGCATAGTGCCCAGCACACGGTAAGCCCTCAAGTTGTGACCACGACACTCCAGGGTTGAAAATTCAGTGCCGTCCCATTTTGTCTAGAGCAGTAGAGTTTACGAACTCTCAGTTCCACTTCTGGCATAACACCGTGCCACACCAATGCACGAGAGCTGTTTGCTTTGGAGGAGGGCCACTGCCTCTTATCAGCATTGACATTGTAGGTTGCCTGACATATATAAAACCTGCAGCCAGATTGGGTGGCGTTAGTTGAGCCAGCATGAGTGTGGTCTGTTTATGGGATCGACCTAATGGGGTCGGATAGCTTGCAGAGAGCCAAGGACGGCGAGGATGGGGACAGCACACCCTCAGGGAAGCCGATCGCAGAGATGAAGGTCCTCACTGCACAACATAAGAACTGTGTTTCCCAGTTCAGTGCACCTGCGCCGTGCAGGATCTGTGCTGTCTCCCTATCCCCCTGCCCCCGTTGCCCCTCCTCTCCCAGAGGCTATGGACCTGCATGGCTGCTGGGGAAAAGGAGAGCATCCTTAGCCACAATGGAGCCTCATAGGTACCCAGCTAGAAGTTCTGTGATTATTTACTTTACTCCAAAATAATGTGTGTATAAATAGGAAGCTTTAGTTTCACCAAGAATCTTAGGGTGCACAAACCTGCATTAAGCAATGTGAAAATAAGATGTCTGGTCATTTTCTCCTTATGCCAAAGCCAGTGGAGGGAATGCAACAATGTGTTCACTGGAGATTCTCAGATTTCTTTCATTTAACCACCCCAGACTCTGGACTCTGTGTAACCTGTGTTTTTATTATAGCCCACTTCCTGCCAGACACTTTCCAAATGCAAGACTGCAAGCCTCACTGCTAGGAGCAGGAAGCCAGAGTTCAGAGAGGGTCCAAAAGCTTGTCTAGAGACCTAGCCAATTCGTGGCAGAGACAGGATCAGAACCCGGGTTTCCAACTACAAAATCCACGCCCTCAACTGCTATTATCCTAAAACGAAATAATTACGAGGCAGTGGGCCTTGGAAACAGACTGTGGCAAACCCTGTATTTTGGAATTATGTTTCTAGAAAGGCCTATCTGCAAAAAAAACAAAAACAACAACAACAACAAAAAAAAAAAAACACAAAAAAACAAAAAAAACCCAAAAAACAAAAAAACAAAACAAAAAAAAAAAAAACAAAACCCAACACAACCAAAAAAAAAATAAAAAAAAAAAAAAAAAAAAAAAAAACCCCACCCAAACACAACCAAGAAAGAAAAACGAAAAAAAAAGAAAGGCCTATCTGGGTTCTATAAAGCTCACCCTGTTGGCTAACCTCACTGTTCAGTGAAAACAACTGTATTTAATGTTTTTGTTTCTAAGAAGAGGCAGGAATCAATCGCTTCAAAGCAAGAAAGCACCCGGCTCTCCTTCCAGGATGTCCCCCAAAGTCACGTTGGTATGTGCTAAAGGTCACAGGGCAGTGGAGTGGCTAACTTGGGGAGCTGAGTGTGAACTCTAGACTTCCCAACGTGTAACCTTGGTCACTGGGAGCAATTCAGCTAATTTCTCCAAATGTAGTTTTCTCTTAAGCAAAGTGAGATGATGATAGCACAGACGGAAATACATGTGAAACCCAGAGCAGAGAACCCCACACCATCAAGTTCCCCTCAAGAGAGAGGATGTCCGGTTTGTACTACTTCTGGTCAGCTTCGTGCCTTCCCAGCACATTAAGAATCTCTTAGAAACGTTAGCATTAGTTCAGCTCTGTTTGCAGACAAACCTACCTAGCATGAGCTGGCGGATTCTGACCACTGATGAGGGACTTGCCATGTGCAGGATGATTCATCAGGCCCCAACGAGGGCTCAGACATGTAAAGCAAGGTTCGTGCTCTCAAGAAGCTCAAAGTCCTGGGGTGCCTGGGTGGCTCAGAGGTTAAGCATCTGCCTTCAGCTCAGGTCATGATCCCAGGGTCCTGGGATGGAGCCCTGCATGGGCTCTCTGCTCAGCAGGAAACCTGCTTCTCCCTTTCCCTCTCCCCCTCCTTGTGTTCCCTCTCTCGCTGTGTCTCTGCCAAATAAATAAAATCTTAAAAAAAAAAGAGAGACCCAAGGTTCAAAACATGTGGGCTAGGCAGGCTCTTATTAGGACACACACTACCTGTTAAGTCCCACTACAAGGACACGGGGGAAATAGACCCATACCTTGAGGCTCAATACCATCAAGACTAAGTTGGACAATGGGTCAGCATCCTTTGGGACACGAGGCGTTCCACTTACTACCCATTGGGTGTATCTTGCATCCATACCTCATTCTCTGAGAAAGAAGAAAAACCCCATGTGGTTAATACCACCCAATATTAAACCCAACATGAAGGTTCCTATAAAGCCATACAAAAGGCTGTTGACTCCCCACTCACCTGGTCTTTGCAGTATTGCCTTTGGGTCAAGACACCCAATGCTCAGTCCATGGCGTGAGACATAGTAAAACTTTCTGCAGAAAGAAACCTCAAAGCTTAAGGCCATTTACTGCGACCCTTGTTGATTTTAGCTCCCAGGAGCCCCCTCCCCATCTCCCCACTAAACAGCGCTCAGATTCTGCTTTAGAGAATCACTCCTTTCTTCGTGCCCTCTGGCCCCAGTGTGGGCACAGGACCCAAGACAGCAGCCGGACAGTCCCACCCTGGAATCCAAATGTTGAGAGAACATCCTGGGACTGCCCAAACCCTAGCTTGCTGTAGTCTGGTTGGATTCTCCCTCAAAGGCTCCCCCAGATTCATTTTTCTGCATAAGTGAGTCAAAACTGGTTCTGTTTCCTAAAGGCCTCTGGGAGAGGCACTGCACTGCTCAGCCAGGGGCCTTGCGCACGGTCAGGACCTCCCTGGGCAGAAGAAGGCCTAGTGAGGAAAGAGTTCCCTGTGGTATTTTGTCTTGGGCAAGAGAATGAAAGACGATGTGAGAAAAGACACTGGGAACCCAGAGCACCAAGGCAGTGCTAGGTTTTGATGAGGAAGCCCCGACCTGTGTCTGTTGGAGGTCGGGCGTGGACAGGAGGAAGCCGACAGACACGGCACAGACTCTCTTCCTCCTGTTGCCCCTGGGCACCCGGCAGACACTGCTCTCCTTCCCGGCCAAGAACCACACCCATGCACTTGATGACATTTTATTTTCAGAAAGGCATCAGTCATTCCAGCCTGTTACGCAGATTACATGAGCAAGGGAGTGGAAAAAATGTTCATCCTGAAGTCCCACCTTCATCTGCAAAAAGCCAAGCTGTGCTGCTGGAGACAGCCGAGATGGTAAGAAAACAAGTGTCCTTCCGTCTGCTGGATCTTGCGAATTATTCAGCAACAGCCCCAAGAAAAAGGCAAAACTATTCCTCAAAAGGTGTACCACTTTTTAGGAAACAGGGAGTGCTTCCAAAAGCCTCAACATTGGTTATTATGCTAATAACCTTGACAAATGTCTCCTCAGCAAATTGTGCTAAGTCGACCAAGGGGCAACGCAGGCCGGGTGTCGGCTAAACGCACCCCTGCTGCTGTTCACGAGGACGTCTGGAGGCCCTGACCGCAGGCCGAGAGGATCCTGCCGCCAGGTTCGCACAGCATCCAGACGCAAAGGAAGAGACTTGCTACCACTACTACTTAAAATAGGAACCCTTAATACTACGAGTCATTTTTGACAAAGAATGTCCCAACGTTCAGTCTTTAACTACGTGTGACAAAGCTAAGATACTCCACCAATCCAATACAAAAGTTGGGGGGATAGTTTTCACACATCATTATTAGATGCTGTTAAGTTTCTCTACTGCAGACAAGCAAAGCCCATTCACAACCGAGCGATAGAGGAAAACTCAGATTTTAGCCACTGCTACCTATTCTTGGAAGACAGACCTTGGCGGGGGGCGGGGGGGGGGGTTCAAGGCCCTGCCGTGTGGAAAGCTCCCCTCCGTCCCTGCCAGACACCCGCGAGTTGAGACTACAAAGGTCACTGCGATCACGCAGCACTGAGAACCTCACGGCCCCTCCCTGACAGCCCACATGCGGGAGCGTGGTCGGGCCTGCTTGGCAGTGCGGATGCCATAAAGGGAGAGGATGAAAGCATTCCTTGGGAGAGGCTGTTGAAAAGAACCCCCTGTCCCAGTACCACCACCCTCCCCGCCCCAGATCAGAGTACTTAATAACCACCTTCAAGCCATCGGAGGGGAAATGACCGTGACGGGGCCCTGCAGAGGATCTGAGGTACTCAAGCTGTCCCTGCGAGGCTGCTCTTGCGAAAAGCCAAGGAAGAAATGTGCGGCCAAGCTCAGATTGCACGTGCTGCACCCTTTTACACCGTGTCCCTCCGACGAGTCTTCGCTGCCCACAGGATTGGCCTTCAACGTCTCTCAGAGGCTCTCTCGTCACCAAGTTGCCCAAGCTAGTGTTAGTCTTGCCCAACGGGACAAGTGAAGTAAAGCCTGGGGCACGCAGCAGCAAGGGAATGAGGAACATACGGAGACACGGAAAGTTCAGGAGAAGGCCTCCCAGTGACATTTAGAGACAAAGCGTCAAGGCTGCCGCCAGCAGGGGGAACAGCATCAACGCTGTCATCCCGGAGACCCTGGCACTCCCGTTGCACAGGTCCTTCTGGCAACAGCTGTACTCGAGCTTCTTCAGCCCCAGGGCTTTGGAGATGGAGAGGTAGCTACAGTCATCAAACTTCCAACACTGGCGGTAAAAAAGTCTTGGATCTGTGGGGGAAAGACACACACAAGGGTAAGCAAGCAAGCAGGGACAGTTCTGTACCTGCCTCTGACCTCTCGGTTCTATGTCCTAGAACAGAGCCACTTCCAGCAGTAGAGACATCTGGGTGGGAACGGGTATCCTTGTTGGGCTGGAAAAGGGAACGACTAGGCAAATGATGATACAGCTCAAGGTGGAACTTTTCCCTAATTCATCAGAGCCCGGAGAGTATGTGCTGCAACAGCCAATCAAGCTGATGTTTTATTAGAGGTTTGATACGATTTTTAAGTCCATTTGCCCTTTGATCCAACAATCCTACTTCTAGAATTTACTCTAGGACATCACTTGTGAAAAAGGTTAAGAGAGATGCTCGAGAATGGTCACGGCATCACTGTCTGTCACAGCAAGAAACTAAAAGACAAAAATCAGTCCATTACTAAAGAAACATTTGAAGAAATCAGGGCAGAGTTCCATACAATGGAAGTCCAGGTAGGTAAGGAGGGACACAGTCCTGCATGTGTCAAAGTGGAGTCTGAGTTTAAAGAAATGTAGGAAAATGGATAAATTGGACTCCATCAAAATTAAAAACTTTCGTGCCTCAACGAGCACTATCGGAAACAAAATCAACCTGCAAAAAGGAGAAGATGTTTGCAAATCATATAACTGATGAGTCTAGTATCCAGACTATAGAAAACACTCTCACGACTCAATAATGAAAATACAAACATGAGCAAAAGATGCAGAGATTTCCTCAAAAAAGATACACAGATGGCCCAGCAGCACAGGAAAAGATGTTTGATATAATCAGTCATTAGGAAAATACAAATCAAAACCACGGTGAGCTTTCCTTCACACCCGATATGACGGCTTTAAGCCAGAAACCGGAAAAGAACGAGGGTTGATGATGAAGTGGAGAGACTGGAAACCTGTTTCCACCATTGGTGGGAAGGCAAAATGGCACTGATTCTCTGGAAAAGTCTGGCAAGTACTCAAAAAGTTAAAAAACAGAGTTACAGATACATTATGATCCAGTAATTCTACTGCTGGGCCTTTACCCAAAGAAAGCAAAAACACCAATTTGAAAAGATACATGCACCCCTATGCTTATAGCAGTATTATATACAATAGCCAAGACATGGAAGCAGCCCACATGTCCACTGATAGATGAATAAAGATGTGGTACACACACACGCACACATACACACACACACACACACACACTGGAATATCATGTGGCCATAAAAAAAGGATGAGATCGTGCCACTGGAGACAACATACATGGAGGGTACTATGCTCTCAGGGTACTATACTCAGTACAGACTGGAAAAGACAAATCCTGTATGATTCTACTCATAAGTGGAATCTAAAAAACAAATAAATAAATACATAGAAAGCAGAATTAGACCTATAAATACAGAGAATAGACTGGTAGTTACCAGGAGGGAAGGAGTGGGGTTGTTGGTAAAAACGGGTGAAGGGGAGAGGGAGATATAGGCGTCCAGTTAAGGAACACATGTCATGGGAAGACAAGATGGTGTAGGGAATTCAGTCAACGCTACTGTAACAGCGGTATAAGGGGACACGTGATAGGTACACTCATGAACACAGCATCACGCACACACTTGTCAAATCCCTAAGTTATACACCTGAAACTATCATAATATTGTGTCAACTATACTCCAAAAAAAAAAAAAAAAAAAAAAAGAGTTACCATATGACCCAGCCATTCCACTTCTAGGCAGGGTCTACCCAGGAGAACTGAAAACTATGTTCACACAAAAGCTTGTTCAGAGCAGCATGACTCAAAACAGCGACCAAGTGGAAACCCAGAAGACAAGTGAATGGAGCAACAAAAAGTGGAGTGATTCAGCCACAAAAAGGACTGGAGGTCCTGATACCTTCCATGACATGGGTGAGCCTTAAAGGCACTCTGCTTGGTGGAAAAAACCAGTCACAAAGGCCACACCCATTGCATGATTCAGTTTCCAATAAATCCGGAACAGACAAATGCACGGAGACAGCAAGTAGATTAGTAACTGCCAGGGCGTGTGGGAGGGAGTGGAGGGGAGGGACTGCTAATGGGTGTGCAATTACTTCTCGGGATAAAAATATTCTGGAGTTAGACAGTGGTGAAACTGGTGCAACTCTGTGAGTATACTAAAAGCCACTGAATTGTACACTGTAAAATGTATGTTTTCTGGTATAGGAATTTGATCTTAATAGAATGGATGCAGACCAGGATGTAGAACAGGGGCTATATGCATAAATGAAGTCTATGTCTGGGGGTAAATGCGTTCATTTTCTCTGGGAAGATTCCCAAGGATTCTTGGGGTTGCCTTCCCAGAAGACTACCCTTCATTTATATATTTCTATATGAATTGAGATTTTTTTTTTAAAGTCATCGGGTGGATTTATTTTCAAAATATTTTAAACTTCATTTAAAAATCATTAGATGATTCAGTAATACAGGAAGAGTTTCCCAAAAAACATGCCATTATGGCCCCAATTTCTACACACATTGAAAAATAAAGGCCCAAAGTATCTATGCCAAGTATCTTATTGTGGTTTTTAATTATTCAGAAAAATTATGTTAAGGGAAAACCAGTGTGCTGGTTGAAAAGCATTATGGTCAATTTTCCTCTCCAAAAATAAGTGTGCACCAAGATGGCGTGCTAGCTGCTGGACACACCCCAACAGAGAAGGGACGGTGCTGGCCCTGGGATCACTCTCTTATTATCCTCTATGCTGGAAAGAAAAAAACACAGAAACAAAAACAAAAAACCCACACAAATGCCTATTTCCTTGTTAAGGACTTGTTGTAACTAACTTAATTTCATTCATAGCTGGGAACTTAACTATACTTGTAACTGCCGGTGCAACTGTTCCATCTTCCGCCTCAGAGGGGACGAGCATTTGGGCTGGCTTCTGACGAAGTCTGGTCAAGTGGCAGAGGCCACAGACTGTTCCAGGGCCTCTATTTTTGATAAGTACTTAAGCGGATGCTTCTAATATTGAACTAGAGGATGCTGTTGAATGGCACGAGTTACTGCCTTACGTGCTCCTAACGAGGAACCGGAGCTGGAAAAACATTCACGTTCCCAGAATTTTAACTGGAGGCGCCTAAGAGCCTGGAGAAAGCTGACAGTAGTTGATTATTAATTGCTACCAATGAATCATTTACTCGTGGCCTGCAGTGAGCCAAGGATTCTACTTCAATGATCTCATTTGCGTAACAACCTGTGATGGAGAGCTCCTCACCAGGCCACTAGCAGAACTACCCAAATAAAGTGGATTATCAGAGGTCCCTGGAATGTTAGAGTTTCTCTCTGCTGGGCCCATCATCCCTGATCTCTTCGAAGACTTCAGTTTGAGTCTAACATCACCAAGAAACAGTCCCTCATTGTCCTTGGCAACTCTACGCGTGCCCCTGATTCAGGAGGTTATCCCGGCAACGATGACTGGGTGCTGTCACCAAAGGCTTATGCCAGAGTCTAATAAGCACGTGGTTTATAGTTCTGGGACTGGCTGGGATGCCAGAAAATAGTGGCTGAACGAACACCCAGCACCTGCCTCTCTCTTCTAGACTTCATCTGGACAGCACCCACACAACCCTTTTCTCCTCTATCTATCCACTGACCCTGGGAGAGAAATGTTCCCCTTTTACAGCAGGGGAGGGGGTGGGGTGTGGCTAGAGTAGTGGAGTGATTTCTCCACTGGAGTACCTGACTTTTGACTCATGTTTGTGGGGACAGTGTGCCATGCGTCTCCCAGGTGACATCAATTTGAGCTGGAGGGGGACTGAGGTGCTCTGGTAGGATCTGTCTTACTGTGAGGTCAGAATTTCTCTATTTCTTTTTTTTTTTTTTTTTTTTTTTAGATTTTATTTATTTGTCAGAGAGGGAGAGAAAGCGAGCGAGCACAGGCAGACAGAATGGCAGGCAGAGGCAGAGGGAGAAGCAGGCTCCCCGCCGAGCAAGGAGCCTGATGTGGGACTCGATCCCAGGACGCTAGGATCATGACCTGAGCCGAAGGCGGCTGCTTAACCAACTGAGCCACCCAGGCGTCCCAGAATTTCTCTATTTCCAGAACTGGTATCATCCCATGTGAAGCTGAAGTCTTGGGACTTAAGTTCATAAAGAAGAAAAATATTTAAGGTTCATATTATCCTTCTAAAAAATAGATTTTATTATTTAGAGGGGCTTGAGATTCACAGCAAAACTGAGCAGAAAGTACAGAGTTCCCATTTAGCCCCCTGGGACCCTTCCCTACCCTAAAGAACCTGTTCTTAGCGTCCCCCGCCAGAGTGGTCTACTTGTGACAACTGACGAAGTGACATGGATTCGCCATTACTGTTCAAAGTCCGTGATTTACACTGGGTTCACTCTGGGTGTCGTATGCGGTTTGACAAAGCAGGACAAATATCCACCAATACAGTATCCTACAGAGTCGTTTTATTGCCTTAAAATCCCGTGTTCCACCTTTTCATCCCTCCCTCCTTCCTAATAACCCCTGGCAACCGCTGACCTCTTTATGGTCTCCTTGTTTTGCCTGTTCCAAAATGTTCTACAGCTGGAATGATCCACGATGTAGCCTCTGCAGATTGGCTTGTTCCACTCACTAATATGTACTGAAATTTCCTTCATGTCTTTTCATGGCTTGATAGCTCGTTTCTTTTTAGTCCACTGTCTGGACGCACTACAACGTACAGTCCATTGACCCATTCCCTCACCAAAGGACATGTCGGTTGCTTCCAAGTCTTAACTACTACAAACATCTGTGTGCGGGTTTTTGTGTGGACATGGGTTTTCAATCTCTTTGGGTAAATACTCAGTGACTACTGAATCACGGGTATGTTTAGCTTATTAAGAAACTGCCAAGCTGTACCATTCTGCATTCCTGCGAGCAGAGAACAAGAGCGCCTGCTGCACCACATCCTTGCCAGCATTTCTGGATTCTGGCCACTCTGAATAGGTGTGTCTTGTTATTGGCGTGGATCACTTTTAAAAGCTGAACAATTCATTGTAAGATGAGTAAGCTCTGGGTATCTAATCTATAGCGTGGTGGGGCTAGTCACTAATACTGTATTACGTTCTTGAAATTTGCTAAGAGGGTAGATCTTAGTGTTCTCATCACACACAAAAGGGGTAACTATGGGAGCTGATGGATGTATTAATGAGACCACTGCGGTAATCACTTCCCAGTGGACAAGAGTTTCAGATCATCACACTATACACCTCAAGTATACATGATTTTTACCTGTCAATTATACTTTAATCAAGTTGGAAAATTTTTCGATAAAAGTTTAACAATCCAGTAAGAAACACTGGGATTCGAGAGCTGGGAAAAAATTCTGGCTCTACTCTACCTCCTCTCCTCGACCATCCAATGTACACATTTCATAAATCAAAAGCCACAGGCAGAGAAAACTCTCTGGAAGCAGGACAGAGGTTGGAGTTCAGAGCTCCTAACTGTGAATCTAATTCTTCCTCTACACATAATATTGCCTTTATTCTCTCATTTGGAAATTACACTTCTTGTAGTGGGGAGGTCTAAGAGACACAGATGATCAAGGTTAACTTGACGGATGTACTCACTCATAACTGGTCTTCCAATATCTGTGGAATGAACGGCTACATTCTCTCCAGAGGCCTTACTGTGCTTTCCGGATTAATAATGAATGACTGTGGTCCTCTGGAAGCAGAGGACCTGTCCCCCAAAAGAATCAGGGACCTCCCATATAGGAATTGGAATCTTATCCACATTCCAGGACTTTCCATCAAAATGATCATCAGATCATCCAGTCTGACAGGAAAATGCTGATGTGTCCTTACTTATTGAGGGATTTCTCCTTTCTAGGGAAATTAATCTTCTCCACCTTTCTATCAGGGTTTTCTGAACTTGTGGGTCTCCCGATCCTTTTATGAGTCTAGTGGACATGTTCAGCTTATTCCCTGATGATGACCCTAGAAGGACTTTGTGGTAGAGGGTAGAAAAATAGAATAAGCTTGAAGGGTGCTTTTATTTTTACTTCTTAAATGGTAACCGTTACTTGTTGAATGCAGGTCTCATGAGAATGAGTGTGACACACATTTTTTTCCCGTGCCCTCATCATCCCATTACCCTGAGGAGATAGGAAAGGGGTGCACTCTTACCAGCTTTGACCAACAGACATGCATCATGATTAACTGAACAAACAGCGGTCTTGTTGCAGGTTTCATTGTCAATACAGGTGTAGCATGTCAGGCTATGACCTAGAGTCAGGAACAAAATCTGTTAGTGCTTGTAAGATCACCATTGACTTGTCCTCCTGACAGCAAAAGAGAGCCCACCACTGCCACTGGTCTGGGGCCGAGGTCAGAAACTCACGGCATGCTTCCCTTCCCACACAAACCCATAGCAGATACATTTTTCCAACCTCAAACTACAGTTCCAGCAGCATTTTTTGGACCCTGATAGAAGTGCAAAAGGAATCTCCATATTTCAAAATCCATATAACTGGGACACCTGGCTGGCTCAGTCGGTTCAGTGTCTACTTTCGGCTCAGGTCATGATCCCAGGGTCCTGGGATCGAGTCCCGCATTCGGTTCTCTGCTCAGCGGGGAGCCTGCTGCTCCCCCTGCTTGTGCCTCCCCCCACCTCTCTCTGACAAATAAGTGAATAAAATTTTAAAAGTAAATAAATAAATAATAAAATCCACATAATCAGGCAATTGAGAAGATTCCTCTTACCTTCAACTAGAAGTGACTTAAAAACAAAAAGGAAATGCTTAATCTGTAATATAATGAGATATTAAAAGGAAACTATCAGGAGAAAAAACTAACAGAATTCTATAAATGCCTTCCAGGCCACGACTACGCTCTGTTTGATCACATTCTCCTAGACTGATACTCAGTTATCCGGTAGTACCTATCTGTGTGAAAAGACATTTTCAAAAATGAAATCTGTAAAATCTCATAGAAGAATGTAATGTTAAACCCAGACCAAGTGTGGGTTTTAGAACCCAAGAGCTGACTCGTAGTTCTAAGTCCAAAGCCTACATTCATCACACAGGGCAGGGGAATTCTCCAGAAGGCCAGAAGAAAGTGGCTTGTCACTATCTGAGCACCACAGTAATCAAGCTCTCTGTAACATATAAAATGGCCACACTGCCTTCCCCGGTGTGAAATCCCATCCTGCACGGGGCCCTCTGATTTATGAAGGTTCCAGATTAACCTTTGAAATGTCAGTACAAAAAAGCTCCCCTGCCCACTTTGTTTGCAGATGACAAGACAGATGCCTGCAGAAGTGAAGGGGCTCACCCAAGGACACCCGAAGGACACCCAAAGCAGCACAGCGGAAGCCAGCCCCCACACCCAGGGGCCGGGCTCCGTCAGCCCACTCTGCCTCCTCCCTCCCACTGTTAGTGTTAGTCGTGCCTATGTGAGAGGGGAGCCACCATGAGAAGGGACGAAGATGTGATCTTTCTGCAGTCCCCTCCCTGTTCCAGATGCATACACGTGCATGGGAGGGGAGGATATAAGAGGGAAGAATGTTCTAGCCTGGATACTTGGGAGGGACACCTGAAAAGGCTGTTCTGAGGACTGACTTCTACTGGCTAAAGCCAGACCTCATTTGGCTTCTAGAGAACCTGCTGTAAACAGAGGAACCAAAGCTCACCCTTAACTTTTTGTGGGGCAGAGATACAGCTAACGTGTTCATTTGGGGTGTGCAGGGATCCCGTATACCTCCAGGCTAAGTTCTGGATCTTGGCAAAATCGTCACGAGAGGTAGGCTCTGTGACCTCCAGCTCTGTGTTTGAAGAGAAAACCAGATCTCCCACGTTACAAAGGGAGAGTTGGGACTCAAACCCAGGCCATCAGTTCTGAAACCTGAGCGTGGTTTAACTGTGACGTTCTTCTAACAGTCCAGAGCAGGAAAGGAAAGGGCGCAAAGTGTGAGGGGATCCGACTCTGGGCTAATGGAGGTGAGAGGGAGGATTCCCTGCATTTTCCTCAGAGCCCAGGCAGCAGCCAGGGAAGCGTCTCCCCGCGTGGGCTCGAGTTCCGGACGGACCCTGACTCTCTATGGAAGGGCTGGGGACCTGTCAGCCGGCCCCACACCCAAGCAGATGCCGACTGGGGAGATTGGGCACGAGGAGGCGATTCTAATCACAGGAAATACACCAGGCAGAAGAACAGAGATGAGCATGTCATGAGCCCCATCACCACCGACCCCAGGAGCCAGTAACAGAGGGAGGGAGGGCAGGTCATAAGGGCTCTTTTTTCTCAGAAAGGGAAAGCATATCCAAACGTGTCCTTGGGCAAATTCCTTCTTTGCCTCAGTTCCCTCAACTGTAAAATGGGAATAACAACAAAGATCCCTCATGGGGTGGCTGGAAGGGTTAAGCAAGACTAGGCTTGGCCTCGTCCCTAGGACACAGAAAAAATTCAGTATAGGGTAGTTGCTAACGCTAACAGTATCTAAGACATGATCTGACACGGCAGAGATCTCTTCATCGCTCCTTGCATTGCTACTTCCCTTTCTGCCTCTCCCCCACCAAAAAAAACCTCTGAAAAACTGGCTGAACTAACCACAGGCAGAAAAAAACATTTGATCCTTATCATGAAGCAAAGCAAGTAACACAGCTGTTCCTTTTTTTTTTTTTTTTTAAAGATTTATTTATTTATTTGAGAGAGAGAGTGAGCAGGGGAAGGGGCAGAGAGAGAGGCAGACTCCCCACTGTGTGTGGAGCCTGATCCGGGACTCAGTCGCATGACCCTGAGGTCAGGACCTGAGCCGAAATCAAGAGTTGAACATCTAACTGACTGAGCCACCCAGGCGCCCCAGTAACAAAGGTGTTTCTACCATTAAAGAACTAAGACTTGGGAACATGCAACTACTTCCAGGAACCAGGGAGGGGTGGCTGGGAAGGAGTTCAGAGCACACTCTGGTGCCAGTCCACTGGGGCTCAAATTCGGGCTGTACCACTTCTGTGTGACATTTTACAAATTATTTCATCTCTTTGGGCCTTACTCTGCTCATTTCTAAAACGATGGCAAAAACAGGACCTACTCCACAGAGCTGACATGAGGATTCAGTAACCAAGTGCACACAAAATGCTGAGGACAGCAGTAGGCACATGAATGCTGCGAACGGGCTGCTGCCACTGCTTCTAAGATCGTCATCATTGCCCTCGTCATTATCATAGAGCAGTCGCCCCCGTGCAGAAGGAGCTCAGCACTTTAAAGCTGGGGCCCACTGGGGTCGCCAACAGCTGGTGAGAGGGAGAAACTTTAGCTGCTGCGTGTACCCCCAGGCCTGCTCTCCCCCAAAAGCTACAGGATGGGGTGTCACTCAGGAAGGTGCTCCAAGGAGAGCAAGAATGTCATGTAGGAAGGAACTGTCACACAGCCCTAGACCTGTCACACTGGAAGGCAAAAGAAGCAAAGCCAGGTCCGAGGCCAGTGGCATCCACTCCGTCTCCCTGAGGCCTAAGAAAAAGGAAGCTTCTGACCAAGGTGACCTAGATGCTCTAAATCCGTGTTCCCCGGACCACTCACCTGAACGGCAGAGCACAGCGAGGATGAGCAGAAGGATGAAGCCTCCTTTGCTTCCCATCGTGATTGTTCACAGAATCTGCAAGGAAGGGACACAGAGGGTTGTCTTGCACCAACAAAGGACTGCTGGCTATTTCAGAAACCAACAGGAGGAAGGCCTGGAGCCTTCAGGAAACATAAGGAAGGAGTTAGCACAGAAAGAAATGGTCTGGGTTGCTATGAGCCAAGGTGCTTTCCTGGTCCCTCCTCTTGCCCCCAGATCTCAGGTTACTGAAGAAATGCTCCCCCTCCTGGCGAGAGGGGCGGCTACCGGGAGTCAGCGCAGAGCGGGCCAAGTGTCAGCAAGCGCCAGGCCCTGCCCCAGCTCCCGCCTACAGTGGCCAGGAGAAAAGAGTTACCTTTGACTAAACTTCAGTCCCTCCAAGTCGCAGTGGTTGTGATCATGCAGTGGGGATAACACTCTCTTCCCCATAAGGGCTGTTGAGTCAAATGAATGAGAATACGAGAAAAATAATACTGCGACTATAATTCCCACCGCGCCAGCCCACCCCAAGCTGCTGGCTGAGCATGGGGGCCTGGCAAGGGCCATCTCTCCAGGCCACGCCACTAAGTGTGTCAGACCAAAGTGGTGATCCTGGAGGGCACTGGCAGGCTTTCTGCACAGAATAGGAGGCAAGGGTTCAGCAGGCCCAGAAGCTCTGGCTCCCCGTCTTAGCAAGCGTGATGCAGACAGCGCCTTGTTCACCTCCTCCCCTCTGGGGAAGTAAAGAGGGGTCCTGGTAACTTCGATGACCAGTGTCCTTACATTAATGCCTACGTGTGTGGCAGTGAGCATCAGGGGAGGAAATGGGAGGGCTGAAATGACTCAAACCCTCCTTTCACCTGACAAGGAAGCTAAAACACAGAGCAGTTTCTTGTTGTCTAAGTCTAAGCCATGAGTGGCAGATCTAAGGGGTCTCCCAATCCCGCCGCTACTTCCCTGACCCCAACCTGAAACAAGGAAGCAAAAGCGCCTCTAAACCAGGGTGCCCATGCTCTCCTCCTCTCAGCCCCACAGGCCAGGACAGCCCGGGGCTCTGGCTGGGTGAACAGCCCCCACCTTGTTAGGAATGTCATCTCTGTACCTCTGAAGGTCATCTGCTGCTCAGAAACTGATCAAGGTCAGGGGAGGGTTGAGAAGCAGAAAGAACAGGTTCTGGCATTGCCCAAAGTCAAAAACACAGAGGAGGTCATGCCTGGATGAAAGAGACAGGTTGCCTTCCTGGGTGGGGAACCCAGGAAGAAAACCAAACAGAGCCCGGCCTTCCTTTACAAGTTGAGTAACGTCCTCTTCCCTCTGGGGTTTTCAATATCTACAACAGCCTATGAATGGTCACCACCCCCGCATGTTGACCCTGCTGGGGCTTAGCTGTCCTCAGCAACCCTGCACAGTGAGGACGTGAGGTGGCCAAGGGCAGCGGTGGAGAGCTCGGACGCTGGCGGACCAGAGGCCTGGCCCTCAGGGCCAGCTCGGTCACTGCCCCGAGCCACTTTTACCTCAGCTGTAACAAGGGAGGTTGCAAAGGCGCTTCCCAACACCGTGAGGATTCAATGGGATAAAACAAGTTAAACGAGTATGTGCTTGAGATACAGCCAAGCACAGGGAAGCGGTGGTTGTCACCCACAGGCCTCGTGCCCTGACCCGGAAGGGCACATCTACCGCACCTCCCATTTGAGAATCTGAGTAAACGCAGGTCTTTCTTCCTGGCCCCTGACCCTGAGAGGTTGGGGCCCTGAGGTCTCTGCCCCCTAACGGATGAGGAAGAGGCCTCACTCAGCCCCTCCTGCTGGCACCCCGTGCCCCCTGCCTGGAGCCCCAGCCACTCTCCCCTCACCAGTGAGTGACCCGGGCCTCAGCCCCCTGCCAGCTCCCCACCCCAGCTTTTCTCGCTCAGGAGTTTCTGGGGAGAGAGAAGGATTTACATGCTCAAGTGAGGCAGGGCTCAGGTCTGTGGAGAACAGCTGCCTGCGAGTGAGCAAAGAGAGAAAGGAATCCATCTGAGGGGCAGGAGCTACTCGAGCACAATGGCTACAACATCCAGTGTCCCCCCTGGAGGAGGTGGAGGGAGCTCCCGACCCGGTTCAGGAGCTGGAGAGGCATCAGGCTGGCGGGAACTGCTGGGATCAGGTCCTCAGGAGTGGCCATTAGCGTGAATGACACTACCACGACAGACAAACAGGGTGCCACACCACAGGGAGCAGGGTTCCTGGATGGACGGCATGGCAAAGAACCTCTCCTAAGAAAGGCTCATCTCTTAACAAAAGCAGAAAAGAAGCCAAGAACTGGGGAAGGGAGAGGCTTTCTGGTCTGGTCTGGAGAGTTCAATCATGGCATCCGGCCGCTCTGGCTCTGCCACACCTATGGTTACTCAACCTCTGAGCTTCTCTTCCTTCAGCCAGCCTGGCGATAAGGACCCAGACCGCAGGGAACAATGCCTGGCACTCGGGAGGCGCTCAAAAAGCAGTTGCCACTACAGCCTTACTGCAAAGTCGTGAGGTTACCGGGAGGAAGCAGCTGGGTAGGGAGGGGGTGCTGGGGGGCGAGGGCTGGGGGAGGGTGGGTGCAGTAGGGAGCCGTAGGTGAGGAACCCAGACAAACACCCTGAAATGAAAGGACCGCGGACATCTCAGGCCCCAAACATTGAGCAGCTCCCAGCTTTTTGGGTTGGAAGGGGTGTCAGGTCTTGGTTTCAACATGCCACCCAGCTGGCTGAGAGTCACAGCAGGGTGACTTGGCTGCGGGAGGGCAGAGATCGTGGAGGAAGCGAGGGGCCAGTGTGTGGACACCAAGGGGAAGCTGTTTAAACTGAAGTAGGACCAAGTCTTCAACAACAAATATGACAAAAATATACCATTTCCTAGGGCAAAACGTTGTTATGGAGTTGGGGGCGAGAGAGGATGGGAAAGACCTGGTTGTTTTCAAGCGATTTTATAAATGCCCCCAAAATGTTGACAGTAGAGGATGCTAAGCAGGATTCCTTATGATTTCTTATTTCTCTTCCTGACCCTTTGCTTTCTGCCATACTTTCCTCAACTGTTCTCTCAGGAGCCAGGCATGACTTCCATAATCAGAAATATTGGGTGAATCTGCACATAATGTTTCCCTTCGGGGAGGCATCTATCACCTACCTTTTCACAAATCTTTTTTCTTTTCTTCTTTTTTACAGTAAGTCTTTGGAGCCATTTTATTTTAAGATTTTACTTATTTATTTATTTATTTGGGAGAGAGAGAGAGAGAGTGTACAGAGTGGGTGGGGAGAAGCAGACTCCCCGCTAAGCAGAGAGCCGGGCACGGGACTTGATCTTGGGACTCTGAGATCCTGACCTGAGCCAAAAGCAGAAGCTTAACTAACTGAGCCACCCAGGCGCCCCTTGGCAAATCTTTCTTGGAATGAAAACACAAACAAACTGAACCTCCTGATTTCAAATACTTCCCCCTGGTCTAAAACAGCCCCCACTGGACACTTTAAATGATGCACGTTCATCAGATGGTGGCTGAGGCAGAGGAGCTGGACTGACTCCTCCAACCCACCCACGCCAAATGCTTCCATGCAAGTTGCAGCCAGAGGGCCTCAACGCTCTCTTTTCCAAACATATGAACTCATCGAAACAGCCGAAGTGAATATAATGACTGCAAACAGACCACAGCCACTCTGAATAAGGTCCACTGAATAAAGACGGGTGAGCCCAGTGGAAACACCATTTTGGGGTTGTAAAACTCACCTGAAGCCAGCCTCAGGGAGTTCGGACAGGTTTTCCTGGGAGGTCCTACACTTGACTCAGAAGTTCTGGCATCTCATCACAGGATGAGGTAAACACTCCTTACTCACTCAAGGATACATACCCATTGTTTAAAATAGCAAACATCTGGCAACAGATGTGCCTAGAAGCAAATGAGTATATAATTCCTTGGGAGGAGTGCACAGCCATGAGGAATTAAGTATTAAGGAAAAAGCCAGTCTAAAAGATAAGTTATAATCTTATTCCTGTTTCTTAAAGATACAATGCTTAGAATACCGTACCACCTTTTCTGAACATTTTCGGAACCTGTGGTTGAAAGAATGGTAGAACTATTGGTAGCTTATTCATACCGAAATATATTCTCTTAACAGTAGACATTTTTATAGAAAGAGCCCTCGAAATGATAGCAGGGTAATAATGTACTTATGAACAATTTCACTTGTCGCTTCTTAACTTTTTATTTTTCTACTACTGAACCTGATTAGGTATAAAACATACATACCACCTTTCAGAATTGGCTTCTTTGAGGTAAAAAAAAGGTTTCGTGTACACATACTCTCCTGAGTCTGTCTGACAGCAATTATTTTAGTCATACTCTGTATTTGTAAAACATGAGGCTCAGGGGATTTTCTAGAAGTCCTGAGAGGGCGAGACCTACATTCTAATCCCACACTGCCGCCAACTCACACGACCTTCAAATAGTCCAACAACCCTTTACTTCCACTCCTCACTTGTGAAAGGGTAATATGGTTTTATATAATGATAAAACATAAGAATAAGACTTGAGAAGTTCATAGCCCAATGTGGACCAAAACATAGCAGGTTAAGGAAGAAGCAAGTGGACAAATGCATGTCAGCCTGATCACTATTTACTCACTCGGATCCACTGAGATGTAAAAGGAAGCTAAGACATTGCAAGGTGATTTACAAGCAAAGGCATTCCCTGTCAAGTTCCCAAAAACGTTTTGGGTAGCAAATTTATGGATATTGTGAGCCTAGATTCCATTATTCCCCCAGATGCCATTATTTTAAAAGGAAAACAAAGACACGTTACTGTCCATCCAAAAGCCCCAACCAGTCCTTCCAAATATCTATCCATTTAAACGAGCCACAGGAATTTAACTATAAAGCATTTAACACACTAACTATTTAATGATGTAACTGAAACAAAAGAAAGGAATTCACTAGTGAGTCTCTTTACTACTGTGAAGTAGTTTCAGTCTTGACAACAACTGTCTGCTGGGGGCAGGTGTCCTACCAGGCACTGCGTTAGTGACCTGCTGAACAGGCAAGGCCCTGCTCTTGGCAAGCTACCAGAGGTGGACACCAGCTAGCGCTAAAGACTAGGAGGAAAATAAAATAAGGACACAGCATTGGTTCTAGACCTTGAGTGGCCAAAAAATCATCTGGAGGGCAGGTAAGCTCAGATGCTGAGTCCCATCTAGAGATTCTGACTCTCCAGGTTTCGGGACCGAAGATTCTGCATTTCTAACCAGGTACACACTGAGAGCCACTGGGTTAGTGGGTGACCTGGGACAAGGGTCAGGCTACTTTAGATCGGGTTGGAAGCTTCTCTCACAATGTTGTGAGAGAAGCTGTCCGTTCTGATTAAATAATTAAAGGCTGCTTCTCCTTTTATGGGCCCGTGTGAGGACACTGGGTCCGATGTCACCGAATGCCAGTTGTAAGCAAACACTTCTTTCAGTGAGCAAAAGTTATGGCCAGTTGCTACACTGGTGTTTGACGTGGTAACTACACCGAATCCTCACACAATGCCGTAAAGTAAATTTAATCCCTGCCTCCCTTTATCAAAGGAGGGAACTGAAGGTTGAGGTAGGGACTGAACTAAGGCAACAGTGGTAGATAGGATAAATAACACTTCTCCCAGAGATGTCCACACCCTAATCCCCCGGCCACCTTAGATGCCAAGTGACTTTGTAGAGGAGATTAAGGTTACAGATGGTTCTGGATTATCCAGAATCACGTGGGTGATTACAATGAAGAGGATGAGGAAGGCAGCAGTGTTTGTCAGAGGGATGGGAAAACAGAAGCAGCAAGAGGGCCTCAGTCTGTGAACATGCGACTCTTGATCTCAGGGTTGTAAGTCTGAGTCCCATGTTGGGTGTAGAGATTACTTAAAAATAAAATCTTGGGGTGCCTAGGTGGCTCAGTTGGTTAAGCAACTGACTCTTGATTTTAGCTCAGCTCCTGATCTCAGGGTTGTGAGGTCGAGCCCTGCACTGGGCTCCATGCTGGGCATGGAGCCTGCTTAAGATTCTCTCTACTTCTCCCTCTGTCCCTATTCACCCTGCTCACATATTCCCTCTCTCTCTTAAAAAAAAAAAAAAAAAAAAAAAAAAAAAAAAAAAGCCTCCAGAAAGGACGCAGCCCCAGTGAGGCCTGGGACAGACTTCTGGCATAGGAAACCGCAAGGCTGATAAATCTGCATTAAGCCACCAAATTTGTGGTGATTTGTTTCAGCAGCAATAGAAAACTGGGACATAGAGCAGCATTTAGACCCAGGTCTGAGGTTAAATGCTCTGGAGGAGAGACTTCTTGTGATTTGAGCTTCTGAAATAAAATAGTTAAGCTGAGGCCATGGAAAGGAGACTTTACATCAGCACGGTTGCAAGAGATTCACAGCAGTTTCGTCTCTGCTCCGAGGACCGTGGTGCCTTAGAGGCTGATGAACGTTAAGGCTAGAAGTGTCCTTAAAAATAAAACCCAATGTGCTCATTTTCTGGAAAATTCTCAGAGGCCCAGGGTATGAAATTACCGTCCCAAGGCAACAAACTGTGGCAGAACCACACAGGGTGGGCCCACTTCCATTCAGCAGGGGCTGGTTGCTCAGAAGTGGGGCTTAGCAACACCGTCAGGAGGCCTGGAGGCCTCCTGGAGCTTTGCTTCTCATCCTGGCCACACACCGCGCCTGCAGGGGCCATGCGCACAGAGACGCCCAGACAGAAATCAACTACTCAGTTCAAGAGGTCACTGCATCAGAAGGCAGAGGCAAAGAGAAAGCCGCCTTCATAATGGCCAGCCCCTCCCAGCCACCCTGAGGTCCTGCTGGCAGAGACAACCACCCCAAAACTCTTTAAACCACGTGAATTGGCAGTTTGCCTCAGGAGGGCCCCTCTGCCATCTGTTCCAGGGCCGCCAAGCGCTGGGGAGCTTTCCCAAGAGGGCCTCTTCTGAGAGATCCTCCTCTAGGCCCTGCCCTTTGAGATTATGCTCGCACAGTGGAAGGTTCAGCGAAGATCTGCACAAAGATCGGGGGCTTAGGTAAAAATATGTCTCCCCCTTTGGAAAACCTCAAACACCTCTGGGCTTGGCTTTCTTTATGGCAGCCTGGCCCAAAGTTATAGCTCCAGGAATTTTGAAAATCTGCTTCTTTTCAAGAGCTTGGACCTGTAGCTGTGAAAGACGAATTCCATTACACACCAGCTCTCATCATTCCAAAGCCCTTTTAATGTGGGCTTTTATCTTCCAAACCATGCAGCATAATGGGCTGTTCTCCTTACATGAGGGTTCAGCAAAAGGTTTGCTGTTTTTGTTTTGAAAATACAGGAGCCCCAAGCTACAGGCCTGTGTGGATCTCAGGGAGGCTACTCCCTCCCCACCCTGGGATACACTTCCCACCACAGTAAATAACCACACTTTGGGGAAATGTTGCCACCTCCTCAGTGAACATTCTGAGCTTGGTGTGGGTTTCTTGGCGGACTGGGAGTGAGATGCCCTGGTGGGGAACAAGAACAGCTGCTGTGGGGTTACAGCAACAGTCCCTAAAATATTAACAGCCATCACTGTTCTCCACAAACAGGTGCCACACTGATTTCCACTAATTATCTCCGTTAGTTCTAATAACACCCTATGAAGAATGGGTCTATTATTTTACTGATATGAAGGGGAAGCTGAAGAGCTTGCTCAGGATTACCCAGCCAGTAAACAGCAGAGCCAAGGTTCAAACCCTGGGGTATTGGCCGGCCCCTAAACACTACCCTGTGACACACGAACTTGGTAGGGAAGTGCAAACTCACCACTTCTGTTCACTGCACACCAGGCTTCAAATTGTACCTGATTCCAGGTGGATTCCAGAGACAACAGATTAAGCCAGACAAGGCCGGACAAAGTGGTGAAAAGAAGTGTTTCCCTGTGAACTGAACACCAAATCATCTCTGGGTTAACCACTGCCTTTGAAGTCTCTCCCTCCCTTTCAAAAATTTATTATCACATGCTAACATGGCAGAGGCGCTGTGTCTCTAAATCGGTAAAATAGGGGCTGATTTGTTTAGAAAGAAGTGGCAATATTGCAGGTGAAAGGGGTGGGGAGCCAGGTCTCCGCTGGGGCCCCCCTGACCTCTTTAGGAAAGTCACCACCCGGTGAGAACAGGATTTTTTAAGACTCAGCTGGTCACAGCGGGCGGCGCCTTCAAAATGGACACAGCGGACGGGAAAACACCCTCAAAAAGGATACAATGATCGGGGCCAGCGGAGGGGTGTACTGTTTCACAAACGGGGCCTCCCGCGGGCAGTGTCAGGAGCCGCCGCCAGCGTGAGTAACAGATGCCCCCGCTCAGTGTGCCACCTCCGAGAGGCCATTTCCCGGACACGGGGCGTGTGTGCCAGCGAGGGGGCAAACGGGACACGTTAACTCGGCACCTTTCCAGCATCCGGGGAGAGCCTGCTTCTCACCAGCAACCACAAAAAACCACTAGCTAACGTTTCTTTAAAACCCGGCTGTCAGACTCCGGGAGTGGTGGAGCCCCGCCAAACAAAACGCCACACCAGACTTGGACTTAAAATGTCTACTTTTCGGCCGCGTCCTTTTCCCCAATTCCAAATTTGTACGTCTAGACCACGCCTGTGACCACTCGCCTGAGAGGGGAGCGGGCTAACCTCCTTTTAAGGCGCGATTCCCCCTCGCTAAGCTACGACAGCTTCCCTACAGTGACGCGACGGCAGGCGGCGGGGTTCCGGATAATGTCCGGATAATGTCCACGCCATGGAGGGCACGGCGCGCGGAATGGGGTGTTTCGGGAAGAGCGCCCTTTTCTTCCCCCGCCCCCCGCGTTTCTCTTTTTGTTAAACAATGGAAGCCAGCGTTCCGCCGGGCTCCCTGGGGA